TCATGTTTTTTTGGTTATTTTTCCCACAGCTATAGTGATTCTTTTTTTTCTTTTTGTGAATGCTATCTATGTAAGCTGCCAAGATAAGTAAAACTAAGAGTATGATATGTTTAAAATGTTAGGGTTTTCTTTTTTAAGTTAAGAAAAAAAGATAGAAATTAAAAAAAAATAATTTGGCGGGCCTAAACGGGCCGGCCCGTTTATTTTTCGGCCCTACAGGGCTGGCCCTTTTAAGCCCGACTTCCCTTTCAAGGCTTCAAAATATAAGCCGGCCCTCGACTTAAACGGGCTTAAACGGGCCGGCCCGACGGGCTCGGCCCGTTTTCCCGGCTCTAGCTGACAACTATTGTTTTGAAAATTTTTATAACTTCAGTAACACGGTTAATAATTTTTGTAATACTATTAAAAATTTAGTATAGCAATTAACAACAATTCCCATAAAAATTATTTTTTTTAATATTAGATACCTATAAAGGTTGTACAATAAAATTTTCCCACTTATTAGGCAGCCATTATGAATATGAGAGTTGTTAATATGATTACATGACTTGTTAATCGTATTACTAAAGCTGTAAAAATGCCACTTTTCGAATTTTCTGGAAAACCTGTTATTAAATGCTATACCTAACTTGTTAAGAGTTACATAACTTATTAATGACATTACTAAATTTATAAAAATGTTACTTTTTGAATTTATTGAAAAATCTATTGTTAATTATTATATTGAACTACTTGCTAATAGCATTCCAAAACTTATTAACTGTGTTATTGAAATTATAAAAATTTTCAAAAAAATAGTTGCCAGCTGTTGGAGCTCTAGCTCTTGATTGTTGGCCAACCACCAGAGCTCCGGTGACTGCAACCACCTGAACTCTAGTGACCGTCGCCTTCACTGGAGCTTCAATGACCAGCTGGCCAATGAGGGTATTTGGTTTTTCAAAAATAATAAAAAAATAAAGGTCAATATAGTCATTTGAACAAATTTGTAAATCCCAAATTGGTCACTTATGTCTAAATTGAGATTTTGCTTATTTAAGTGGCCATTTTGGGATTTTCAAGTTTAAGTATTACTTTTGTATCATTTTCCCTTTATGCAAAGTAAAAACTATTTTACACTTTTGTTGTAATAATAGGATAATTACTATTTAGTAAATTTTTAATTTTAACCAACGGGAGTTGGTCCAAGTGGTAAGCGGCTTGGTACCGCTTAAGCGAGGTCTCGAGTTCGAGCCTTAGCGTATGCAGAAATCCCCGTTGAGAGACTCACGCACCACAGCCAGGTGCGCAATGCGGGTCGGATTCAAATGTAGTTGGAGCAAAGTTTCGATAAACTGGGTGAGCAACCAAATTTTTTTTTAAATTTTAGTATTTTATAATATCAGTAGAGATCTTTGTTCATATAAATGATTTATTTATTATTTAGTTATACACTTCTCAATAAAATAAAAAATATATTTTTTAGATTTTTCTTTATTTTAAAAATTTAGAAAAATATTATAAAATTTCACTAGAGAGATTTCTTCAAAAAAGTAAATGGATTTTTTTGTTAAAAATATTATACAATTGAAGCTTTGGATTTATTCTTTCAAACTAACTATATGATGTTCAAATCAATTTAAAATCAATTAGAAAATATGATATCCCAACTCATAAAAAAATACTCTTATGAGACTATTTATAAACTTTAAATTTGGAAAGAGACATAGTTCATTTTATAAGTTTTAATTTGAGTTTTTTTTAATATTTAATATATTTTTTAATTTTGTTCTTAATTATTTATTTTCTCTTGTTTACTATTATGTCTCTTAACACATTTTTTCCCACATTGTCTTTCATCCTTTTTTCTTATTTATTATAAGAATATATTTAGAAAAATATATATTTTTAACTTATTTATTACTTTTAATTAATTTTAACTAATAATTTATTATTAAAAAATTAGTTATTTAAAACTTATAATAAGTAAAGTATGATATACTAAACCCAGAATCTCATAAATAAATTCAAGCCAAGCCCCATTTTTTGGGCCATATCGTATGTGGGGACATATTAAGCGCGATACTCACAAGAACTGTGCTACTCCTCTGGTCCTTATTATAAGACCCCATTTAACTTTTTATTTGGTCCTAATTATAAGACCCCAATCCATTTTGTCTCTTATATTTATGCATTTTTTTCCAAGATAATCCTTCTAATAATGATAGTTTTAGCCAATATACTTAATTAGCAAGATATTTTAGGAATGACAACACTTATTTATTATAAATAACCAACTTAACTTACTTTCTTAATCTCCTCAAATAATCAATTGGGTCTTATAATTAGAACCGGAGGAGTATCATTTTTGGGCCATCCGGTTTTTCCCGTTACTCATTTTCAGCCCACGAGTCTGAAACCCTAATCTAGCTTTTATAAGGTCTCGGATTTGGCGGCCATTTGTTGGTTGTCGCCCAAGCTGTGCTCTCCCTTGCTCTTCCTGCGAGTTTCCTGCATTTTGAAGCACCAAGCACAACATGGCGGATAAGGCTGTGACAGTCCGAACCAGGAAATTTATGACAAATAGGCTTCTATCTCGCAAGCAGTTTGTGAGTTTGTCATTCATGGAAGCACATTGAATCTGTTGGGTTTTGCACCTAATTTTTTTCCATGTTATTTTGTGGTGCAGGTCATTGATGTACTTCATCCTGGGAGGCCAAACGTATCCAAGGTACTTTAGTTTCTAATGTCATTATTATGAATTGTTATGGGTAGAATCTACAAAACTTGTTTGTAGCACAGGCAATCGGAAGTCTACCTTTCAAGCATTTACAGTTTTGGTAATTACATGACCCCTCATGTTTTTTTTTTTTTTGTGGGCTGCGGTATGAAGGCGGAGCTTAAGGAAAAGCTATCAAGGATGTACGATGTCAAAGACCCTAATGCGATTTTTGTCTTCAAGTTTAGAACTCACTTTGGAGGCGGAAAATCAACCGGATTTGGTTTAATTTATGATTCCGTTGAAAATGCAAAGAAGTATGAGCCCAAGTACAGGCTTATCAGGGTAAGTTGACTTGGTTTAATGGAAAAGATTGATTTGTTGGCATCATCACGCTTTTGATCATTTTCTTGATCCATAGTTCTCTACTGCCTTCGTTCTTTTGACCCTCGCTGTTGGGATTATTATTTCAGCCACTTAGTGGGTTAGTTGGGTTGGGTTGGGTTGGGTAGTGAGAGTTTGCTGTTTCTTCTAATCTGAATGGAATTATAATTCATTGGAAGATTTACTTATTTCCAAACTACCGACTTTGAATTCTTTATTTTCTGAGCTCAGAAAATCTTCTATTTCTCTATGGTCAAGGGATGCTAACTTGTGTGGGTCTGTATTTCTCCATCATTCTGGAGTTGCTAGGAATGTCGTTTGTAGCATTAGCGGTGTACAGCCAAGTAATGTAGTATTTTCTAGTCGTGTACGTTTATCATTTAAATGGTTTTACCTAGCTAGAATTGTTAATAGTTCTTTCTATTTAGTGTTAATACTCCACCGTCCTTAATACAAGACAGTGCACTACAAGTAGGTTTTATATTAAAGTAGGTTTTATATTAAAGACGAGAGGAGTACTTGGAATTCTTTTGGAGTTAGTTGCTGAATTTGTTAACTGTTCTTTTTTGTTACCGATTCTATTGTTATTTTTATGATTTTCTGTGTTCTACGTGCTTTGTTCAATTTCAATGCACAATCGAAACCTCTTTTTTTGTTTGTGTGTGGCAGAATGGACTCGCTACTAAGGTGGAGAAGTCCAGGAAGCAACTGAAAGAGCGGAAGAACCGTGCTAAGAAGATCCGTGGAGTAAAGAAGGTAAATTTACTTAAGGGCTTATGGTCACTTTGAATATATCTGTACTTTGATGTGTTTTAACTTCTGTCTTTTGTTGTACAGACCAAGGCTTCTGAGGCTGCAAAGAAGAAATGAGTCTTCAGAATGTTTGTATTGATTTTAGTTTTCCCGAGTTCAGTTAAAATTTTGCTTCTCTTTACATTTTGTTGAGCAGTACAATACGATATTTTTCAGTTTCACTGATTAATTTGTTCATCTAGCATATTAAAGATCTTGATTACTGTGAGTCGGCTTAACCTTGTTTTCACTGATAGTGTTGATTCGTTACCTGGATGGTTGGCCTATATTATAGACCGTGAATGCTCATTTGAACTATGAATCAGCATTTATAATATCACCTGATGAAATTCGTCGGCTAATTATGGTTTCTTAATTGTAGTACATCAATTCCACCAATTAAGCTTTATGGATGTCCTGCACTTACGCAACGTGGTTTACGAATATTGTATACGAATAATTACCTTTAAATTGCGCGAATTATCAAATTAATCGAAATACTACTTTATTGTTTGTGTTAATGAATGATTAGGAGAAGTGGATAGTTCTCTTGTCGAAGTATAGGTTTGATATAACTCATATTTTTCCAATTTGTTGAAGCAAGCAAGCAGGATTAGGGGAGAGGTAACTTTGTGCAAAGGGTTGCAATTTGGTTCACTTTAGGATTGGGATTTGGGATTAGTTTATGCTTGACCCCTGTGCTTAAACTTGGTGCAACAATAGTTGCTTCAATGACAGGCCAGACCCAATTTGCTAGTTGAACACATGCTTATCCGCCTTCACCATGGGTAACAATAACAACAGAAACCATAAAGGATTTCATGAGTCTAGCTCATATCGCAAGATTACAGTGTTCTGTGAGCAAAGGAAGGCATAGGATTCCAAAACCTCAAATGTAATAAACGGAAAAAGAAAACGGTGTACAGTTCTCATGATTTCTGAACTATGTAATGTTCCTTTTAAACTTCTGCATTTATACAGATTATTGTCATGCTATTAATTTATTCGTTATCTGACTCCTTTTACTGACATAATATAATGAGATTTATTTGCATATGATTTTAATATTAAAAAGCAATTTATGTATATAGTAACTCATTTTGAGGGAGTTATCTAACAAAAAGAAAAGTTTAACGAGACAAATTAAAATAATTAGAATAAAACATCAGCTAAAAACAGAACAAAGAGGAGCAAAATGCTAATCTGCCTTTCATGATCAGCAGAAGGGCGAGGATTGTTTTCTAAGAGAAGCTTCTATCATCATTTACCAGCAACTTATCTCCTTCGTAAAATTCAATCTGATTTTCCCCTTGATTTTGCTTATTGTACAACACAATGATACGCATCACCGATGATCGCAAACACACTAGACAATTTCAACTCTCAGTAGATGCAGCGTTCACCGCTTCATTTTGACGATTTAAACACTAAGGCCTGTACAGAATTCAATGGTGAACGGTAGCCATACGCTGAAGAGTCCCTCCAGAAAGTTGTCACTGTCACAACCAGAGATAATCAGCGATAGTGTTCCATTGCCTTTGATAAAAAATTGCTACTTAATATGTGATACATAACCTAAACTTCAATGAGCACATATATTAAGTTCGACAATTAAGTAACTGACAAGTGGACGGGCTCTATTGAATGAACATAACTGTTATACTTTGAAGGAAGAAACGTCAGCAAGGAATTTTAACAATGCAAGTCATTTACCGGAAATGAAACCCATTAGAATAGTGTTAACAGAAGAAAAAAAGGAATGAACTCGGAATCATAAACGTATGCAAAGATTGGGGAACTGCAAGGACATAGAGAATAACCTATCCATAAAACCAGACCGACTGTTGCTGCCAAGAAGTATTCTTTCCTGATAGTATTGAACCTGCAATCACCAAACACCCTTAGTTTTCACCTAACCTTTGGTTTTAGGGAAATATGCAAATATAATTCATGGAACAAAAGCTAAGATCTGATACACCATCAGTAAATCATATCGTCAACTTTAAAAACAGACTAAACTTACAGTCTCTTGTTTTAAAGTTGATGTAGCAAATTTGTAATTAGGCCTCAGAGTTCAAGGGGAGTAAAAGGCAATATCCCCACTAATTTTATTCTACAAAAGATCCAGAATGAATGCAGACAAGAAAAATGAAGAGGGATCAACTTACAAGTACAGGCATACAATATTCCCATATCCATAAAGAAAAGTAGCCCAAGAAGAACCAATGAACCTATCATCAAAGTTGAACCAGAGAATAGTGAACTTTTACATGTAGAAGTAATAGTGGCAAGAACAACGAGAGCATGCGGAAAGAAAGGAATTACCACATGAAATCACGAATAAAGAGAGCACGTGGGATCAGAAGTCCATTTCCAATCATAGCAAGCAAGATTGTATAGGCTGATAAGCCTTTGATGTTCTCAGGATTCAGAAAATTTGTCCACTAGAAAAAGGAACATAGAAGATAAGGTCATAGTTAGACATTGAAGGTAAATATTAATTGTCCTTCAAGGAAAAAATTGGTATACACATTCAAATTACCATCTGCGAAATTGGCATCCACATGAAGAGAAGCGTAGCCGTCCATCCAGATAATGACCCAACAAATCTGACGCCTTGTTCAGGGAGCTTTCCACTTCTCGCCTGCAAATCATAGCAGTGATGCGTTTAAAAGGATGCTGAAATAGGAAGCCTGTTAAATTCAGTTCCACACAAGACCCAATGTACAAACAAGAATTCTTCCTTCATATTTCTATGTTACAGACGGATGAGTGATAAATATACAAGGAAATTATATAAAACTGTGTTGCTACTAAAATGTCAAACAAGTTGTTGAAATAACTGCTCCTAAGTAGTTTGAGACAATATTTCACAGTAATATATCAAATATGAGTTGAGCTAAATTATGGAAGCTATAATCAAATCCTTTTAGCATGGTAGCATCCCTTCCCTCATTAACTTCAATGCACCGGATCAAATTTACCGCTTCAAGTCCCTGGAGAATTGGTCATTTTAAACTGAGGACAGTGCAGTCTTGCACCACTTCAAACTAATTCACTGGATTTTAACTTCAAGATATCACCTTCTTATAGCCTGACTAAAAAATCAAGGGGACAAGGAGATTACCATGATAACAGCCACAACAGCTATCACAAAGGCTGTAGTCCCCGGTAAGATACTGTTTGGCACATACGGGACAAATGTAGACCACATTATCTGCATCCAAATTTAAATGTTTGCCGACATAAGATAAATAGTAAGAGATATCATGGAATCAAGATATTTGTCGGTCTATATTCCAGAGATGGAAAAACATAGAAGGTATGCACATGCAACTGAGTGACTGTAAATGAGTGCAGGGGGCTTTGTCCTTCGTGTGAGGACACAAATGGTAAGAATTTTTAATTTTAATTATTAATGGGGCGGGGGGAATTGGAGAATTACCTGAGGAAGCACTGATAAACCACCAACAGTGATGAAGTCTTCCCAGAAGCTCCAGATTGCAGCATTCAGTAGACCAAGGTAATTCAGAAAATTCAGAAAAAGGCCAGATCCCACAACAACTGAGGTGGCCACAAAGTGAGGTAGGGGCATGGCTCCTGCTAACGCCAGCTGAACAAGGACTACAAATGTTGAAACCACACCCAGCGTCTGCACCACCATTGCTTCCTTTTCTTTCTTCTTGGCAAAGTATGATAGTAGTGACAAATTTCCAAGCAAAGAAGTAAGCATTCCCTGCATTGATGTCCATGCCAATTTTAGCCTTAGGTTCTAAAAGGCATGCCCCGTTAAGTTTTGATAACATAAAGCACAGGGATAAAGAATTACTGATATATAAAATTTTGAAATTGAACATTCTGAAGAACCATTTAAACTCTAAAGCTTAAGCCATAAAGACATAAAATTGGTTTTATTACTACTTTTAACAAACTTCTTCTGAAGCATAGTCTTGGAAACATGTTACAAATCATTGTTCATCCCAGTGCAAGATTATAGAATAAACTACTCTTGTTTAAACTTTTAAAAGGGTTTGCAGGGTGGGGAGGGAGAATAGAAAGCTTTTGATTTAAAATTTGGCACTCTGCCTTACCAGCCATGAGACAGCAAAGAGAGGAGTTTTATTTCCTGCCAGAAGATTCTGAGCATTAAGGATAATCTGGGGTAGCTGCAGTAATAAAAATGGAATATTGGCTGCTCCAGCGAGCTTGGATGTCAGTGAATTCCACTCCTCGTACCTTTTATTCCTCTCAGTGTACACTGATCCCTTCAAGTATTTCCCAAGTAAATCGCAACGTCAAAAGTAAAAACAACAAATGGAAACCAAGTTTTCTTGGACAAACCAAATAAACTCGCATAAGAAGATGAGTCCACCAGACCCTGAAAGCAACGTTCAATTCTTTATGTACTTGTTCGAAAGTAGCAAAGTAACACTGATTTCATGAACCTTCGAACAATTTTTATCTTAAGCAATGATTTGATCCCTGGGGAGTGCTGTACCCAAAAACTACCTGAAAAGCTGAGGTTCATAATAGCCTCACAATAGAATGGAATACATCCAATGCAGGATTCAAGATACAATGAGTCACAACAAGCTCGTAAGAAAGTAGCCAGCTCAATCAATGTTGTAAAGTTTTCTCCGGAAAAATAAGACAAATTGCTCATACTTGTATACCAAGAAAGCGGTCCAAGAAAAGGGATAAAGATTCAGACAAATCATCAATAATTTCTTAGCCACGTTAAATAAAACCCAGAATATGAAAGACTCCAAATTAATACATCCCAATACAATGGAGGTTCTCAAACGGGGACAGAAAAAAATTGCTAAGAATAAATTAGTACCTGATGGGGATGAGGGACATCAGAATGAAGAGCATTAAGGGAAAAAGCGAGTCGAGGGCGTGAAAGGGAAACAAAGGGTCTGTAGTGGGTAAAGCGCGAAGCAGAAACAGAAGAACTGAGAAAAGGAATGGGTTTTTGATATGGGGATGCAAAGGAGGAACGCAGGAAAGGAATATTTGAACTGGAATGGTGAAGACGAAGCGGAGGAGGATTTTGGGTAGCAGAAAAGGAACAGGCCATGAATATTGAATAGAGCTTCCTTCTAAAATTGAACGGTGCAAACGTGAGGAGAAATGAGAGCAAGAACTATGCACTGAGGAAGACGACGACCTGGCTTCTCAAATTAGACGGTGGCATGCCACTATATAGGATATTTTACCGATCTCTGCTGCGATGAGAGCGTCGTTTTTCTAGAAGCAAAAATAAGACGAGGGAGTGTTTAGTAGACCAAGTGAGGTAAATATGAAAAAAGATTTGTTTTGACTTGTGAAAATATGCTTTTATCAAAAAAACATGTTTTTGAACAAACACCTCCTAAATACTATCTGGTTATAAGATCCTATTTGACTTTTATTTTAGTTCTAAATATAAGACCCAAATCCACTTTGTCTCTCATATTTATACATTTTTTTTCCAAAGTAGCCCTTCTAATAATGATAGTTCCAGTCAATACACTTGATTAGCAAGGAGATTTTAGGAAAGATAACACCTATTTAGGACAAATAACTAACTCAACTTACTTCTTTAATCTTCTCAAATTAGTCAACTAGCTCTTATAATTAGGACCGGAGGTAGTACTATTTTGGTCATAAATATAAGATTTATTTTGTAATGTAATTTACTTGATAAATGAATTACTACCTCCAATCCTAATTACAAAAGCCAGTTAACTAATTTGAGAAGATTAAGAAAGTAATTTAAGTTAGTTATTTGTCCTAAATAAGTGTTGTCTTTTCTAAAATATCCTTGCTAATCAAGTGTATTGGTTAGAACTACTCCTCCGGTCCTAAATGTAAGACCCTTATACACACTAGTATAAGAGTCTTATATTTAGAACCGGAGGAGTATTATTGTTAGAAGGACTACTTTAGAAAAAAAAATACAAATATGAGAGATAAAGTGGATTTGGGTCTCATATTTAGGACCAAAATAAAAGTCAAATAATATCTTATATTAAAGAACGGAGGTAGTATTACTCATGACTTTGGATAATTGATAATAAAAATTATATATCTATAATATTAGGGAAAATCCCAAAAAAAATGATTGTTGAATTTTAAAATTCCAAATCAAGAATTACTACAAAAATGTGTTGTCATTTGCTTTTTGAATGTAGTCATTTTCTTTATGAGTATAGTAACTAATACTGATTTGAAATTTTAAAATTCAAGTGTAATTTTTTTGGGATTTTCCCATAATATTAATTAACAGGGGTATGACTGTGTGAGGACTGATTCATGCTTTGCAGTTTACTTTATTTTTTAATTTTTGACAATATTACTATTTATATGTTGAAAGTGACATTATATTTGTACTGTTTGTAAAGCCACATTCTAGTTTTCATCCATGTGTATATGAAGTGGACCAAAATGATTCGAAAAGGAGACAATAATATTGGTCTAAATTATAAAATAAAAATATTGCAAACAAAAGATCGAAATTCGCTTCTTCCATGCCAAGTGTAACCTCTGGCAATTTGGTTAAATGCGTATTTGCACTAACCAAATTGCCTGAAGTCATTTTGGCAAAGATCGAAATTTTCCACTGTGCTCTCTTAGAATAATTTAACCTTTTTGATTTAAGATGTTTAAATTTGATATTTTATTTAATTTCTTGCTAAAATCTAAAAAATTATTTTTTTCATGTTCTTCATTTCGCAAATAAAATTTTAAAACGAAATATTAAATTTAAATAACAATTAAATTGTTGAAATTGCTTCATTGTGAACGGGCGTTGTAGGTGAAATAAAATGAATGTTCGAAAAAATTCTAATAAATAGCTGAAAAGAAAATTGTGAAAAATGACCAAATAAGCAAATTATTTAGGAACAAGGACCCACCTGGCAGAATACGGTGGAAGAAAAGATGCAGATTCATGAAATAGAAATTGTAGATCGTAGAAAGAAGAATTACAAATTATGGATCTGGGCCTTCCCCCCAATATAATTTAGCGATTAATCAGGTGCTTTTGCACAATTTTGCGATAATAAATCCGTGACAGAGAGCGGGGATCTGCCGAATTTAGATGTCCCATGCTTTGACTTTTGAAGACTCCCAAGCAACCCCACATGATTCTTCAATCATAGATCTACTTAACATCATCAACAAAAATTAGAATAAATATATATTCGTCCAGGAAAATAATAATAATAATAGTACTCTTTTGATCCTATTTATAGCGCGGAAAAGGAAGACATTTTTTTATATTATTTATAGGGTGTTGAGAGAAATTTTTTATATGGATGTACATTTTACCCTTTATTTATTATTGTATTGACTTTGTTTACATGAAGTATAATATATGAATAAAGATAAAGTTGAAAACTTGTTGAATTTTAAATAAAAATTAATAAAGTTTAAGATTTTTCTTGAAACATATCAAGAATGACTTATAAATACGATCAAAAGAATAGTAATCTATAATCTCTGGCTATTATTTATTTATTTATTAATTATCTATTCCTAGATATAAAAACTAATTTAGGTATTTATTTCTAAAGTAACTCTTACCATAAAAATCAAACGCTATATTTTACGGTTGCGGGCAAAGGCCACTCCAGATACTTCCATAACTATTTGAATGATATCTTGGTGGTTGAGCGATAAGCCTGTGGGCTCTTTTCAACATTTGCATTCTGATCCTACTGACTAGGGTTTCGCTTCATGTATTGGCCCAAGGGAAGTCATCTTATAAATATATTTTTTTAATTTTAGGAAAATGAAAAGTAGATTTCATTCGTCCGAACACGTGGTAATAAAGGATAGGGTGGGTCCCTTTTCTATATGATGGGAGTTTGTCATCATTTTTGAAATAAATCTCATTGGAGGGAGCCGAGACCCATATCAAGATTTCAGATCATGTAGGGCTTTCGTCTTTCAATTATTATAATTGCCAGCTTACTCTTGCAACTCAATTCGCTCCAACTCATATAATTCAATAGTGAGGTTATGAGTGTTCAGTCGAAAACATCTTTGCATATAGGTTTATGTAACTTGTAGCTGTCCAAAAAAAAAAAAAAGTTACTAGGACATGAATTTCTTACCCCAAAAAAAATATCCGGTCCTAAATATAAAATTCTTAGACACACTAATATAAGGATCTTATATTTAGAACCAGAAGAGTAATAATTTCCTGCATGGCAGGCAATTCATTTCAACTTTGACTTCTATTCCTAAGAATATAATAATAAATTTACATGACAGAGTGCATCTATATCTTAGCAAATAGATTACTTATATTACTGAATTAAAGTGATGCTTGGGGGAAAGCTTTATTTGGGATCACAATTTAAAGCACTTATAAGCATATTTCACATAAGTCAAAACAAAATTCTTTCCAAAATATATACCTCATGTTGAAAAACTATTTATAAATTACTCCAAACGAACTCTAAAGAAACGTTGTTTGGCAATAGAACTTGACCCATTACCCAAAATGCAAGCATTACAAGCGATCCACGCAAAATATCCCAATATTATTGAATGGTGATGCCCAAAAACCACAGCAATATTGATCGACATATCCCAAACTATAAGTGGACAAAATGACTTTCGGTGCATATGAAATATAAGTGGTGGTAGAGGGAATGTGCTGTGCTGTGCGTGCGTGTGTGAGAGAGAAAGATGAGTCCAGAACTACAACAATGGATGGAGAAAAGAAAACTGACAGTATGAGAAAAAAGGATCATCCATAAGCCAAGGATGCATGAGCCAAAGAGGATCATTTTCCCAGGAAAATAAAAGAAATACTAGAGTTAGTCACAAAACAGCCCATCGGATAGTTAAACAGCCTCAACTATGATCAGCACAACTTACTATTTAAAACAATCCTAAACCTCACAGCAATTAAAAGTAGCCAGTACTTCTATCTGAAAATTATTACAATTTTTTCTGACGAATAACACCAAATAAGAACTCCAACAAATTGAGCCCGCTCCCTATATCAAAGTTCACGAGAAACTGAGAAAAATCCGTGTCTGACAACACTGGATGACTAGCAACTTCAGCATTGCAATAAATCTAGACTGCCACATCTAGATGAACAACAAGTAGCAATGGCCTCTTAAATGGCTATGGCTTCTACAGGAATGGAGGTAATATTACCCACCGACGAGGATACCTGGGTCTTCCTTCCTTTCCATCAAATAGCTGCAGGTAACACCAAATTGACATGTAAAATACGCAAAGACTAAACAGTTAATTGGGGGGGGGGGGGAATGTCTTTTTTGTTCATCCGATGGGATATGACAAAGCTGTATCCCATTCGTTGCTTTGATCTATAAGCACTGTCGAAAATGCCCAAAAGAAAAAATAAATAAATTAAATTCCCTTAGCATGCTCAACAAGTAAACATGTGATCCTTGCCCCCTTAGTAAAATGAAAAGTGTTTTCTTCCCCCCCCCCCCCCGGGGCAATATCTGTTATGCCTTCCTAATCATTCATCAACCATAATCATTTTCTAAAACTTTTTCTTTTAAAATACAGATATTAAATTATTTTTCATCTCTAAAACTGCTTTAGAATATGATACTCAATTATGTTGAGCTATAGACATACATGTGCAGACTGCAGAACATGGAGACAGATACATGAACACGCAAAAGCATGAGGAGACCAGTTATTACTTCCTTCATATTTATCATGCCCTGAACACCAAGTGTCCATGTTTCATAGCAAGCAAGTGTATTCAGGTGAAACAAGTATATTTTGGTCTCACAGTTTATCACAACAATGAGCAAGGGAGACTGACCTTCTTCAAACGCCTGTGCTTCGCAAGAGCCCAGTTGGTCATGATGCCGGCAGCAACCACAAGAAAAACATAACCTGCAACAGTCTGTGTTGCGATGTTGAAGCCCAGCCACTGGTAGATCTCTGTTGTATAATTTGCGCATGTAACAATATTGAAGAGAAAGCCGTGTGGGATTTGATATCCACCATCCCCTTCAGGCCTACGGAGATTCCTCAGCAAAATATGGCAATAGAAATTTGCAATTTGACAGAGGATCCCAAAACCAAACCCTATCTTCATTTGGAGATCACTTACAGGGGTGTAGAGTGGATGGTTCACATAATAAGCAATATAACAGCCAAATGTCCAATAATAAGCA